CCTGCTCTGAGGACAGGAAGGGCCGTACCAGCCAGCCACACCCAAGAGCCCTGCCTGAGCATCTTGTGAGGACGGAGGTGAGAGTGCCCGGTTTTACAGCTGGGAACGGGGCGAAGAGGTGGGGGCGCTCCCCCAGCTCTCCTTGCTGGAAGCAGGTCTGCCCACCCCGGGCCTCTGCTCCCACCCAAGTGTCTGCCAAAGCGGAGGAGGGGAGGCTGACGCCAGGGTCCAACCTGTGTGCCTCCCCCCTTGGCGTGCTCCTCAGTGCCCAGCTCAGCCCTGGGGGCCTCACAGGTGACATTGGGTCCCTGCCCCAGGAGCTCCCAGTCTGGAGGAGCCTTCCAACCACGCACAAGCCACTTGCACAGACGCGGGGTGCTCAGCAAGCAGGGGGACCCAGGAGCCTCTCAGGGCCTCTGGAGTGAAGGCAGACAAAGAGCATTCATAGCCACTCCTTTGCCTTCCGGGCCTGAGGGAAAGGGCATCGGAAGCCACAACAGCCTGGCCTGTGTGGCCTCGGGGCTGGGACAGAGCTGCCTTTCTGTGAACTGCCCAGGATGGAGGAAAGCCCCGAGGCAGGAGGAGGGAGGGGACCAGGAACTTTCCAGGAACCTGGTCACAGGCTGTGAGAAGTGGCTGCACTGTTCCCAGAGCAACAGGGCTCAGAGCCACCCGCCATCCAGGTGTGTGACCCACTCAGAGGTGAGGGAGGCAGGACAAAGGTCACAGCATTGCCAGGTAGAAATGCTCAATTTTTAGCATCACAGATATTGCCACTGCACATCAGGCAATAAGAGGCCAATGTGTGTTAGGGACAATGGCCATGGCGGTAACGGTGGTGGTGATGGTGATGGTGATGGTGGTTGTCGTAAGTGTTTCCCTCCACGTCCTGCGTGGTTCAGGGTTCGGGTCTAGAAGAGGAGTCGCACACAAATGAAATAGAAAAGACACAAGATAATTTGGGAATGTTGGGGGACCAGGCGAGCAAGTCCAACTCAAGAGGAAGGACTTCCACTGTGCTCAGGCCTCACCAAGCTTTTTATAGTGAGAGGTAAACAAGGTAGTGGTTACCATAGTTACACAGTTCTTGTGAGTTTCACTTGTTTTGACCATGGTTACACTTCCTGCTCTTCCTCAGTCCCTTAGCTTCCCAGATAAGATCTAGGGAGTGTTATAAGGTCAAGCCTAATTATGCTAAGAGGACTGTGCCCTCTAAGCTAGGACTTGTTTGTGACTTTGCCAGCAGGTCAGTCCGAGGCTTAACCCTATATCAGTTTCCCACAGGTGGTGATGGTGATGGTGGTGGTGGTGGTAGTGGTGATAGTGATGGTGATGGTGGTGGTGGTGATAGTGATGGTGATGGTGATG